AATCAGTACCGGCTGGGGGAGGTGGAGAAGGACGAGGTGAAGAGGTTGGAGAGGGGTGGGGGGGAGCTGAGAAACATAATGTACCTCACCAGTCCAGAGGTGGTGGAGTCATCTGGAATCTATGGGAGGAGCTCATTGAGCAGAGGTCTGTATGAATTAACGTTAGGTTCCTGTTAGGGTAAGGGCCTGATTGCCATTTTTTGACTTCGTTTGGTTTTGCAGAAGAAATGAACCGCTTGAGAGCTGGGGGTAGACCCGTACGGCCACTAAAGAAGAGGTCGAGGGCGTCAACCGCGGGTGCTCAAGAGAAGCGAGTTGGAGGTGCAACTTCGAGGCCTCACCCAAGTGGTGGGTCTCGAGCTGAGGTGGGGCCCAGCTCTGAGCCCAAGAGGGGCACAATTGAGGAGCTCGTTGCCCGAAAGAGGACAAGGGTGGAAGAGGTGCAGTCTTTGCAGATTGAGGCCCCGGTCGAGTTTGTCCCTCGATGTCCCCTAGTGCAGATCGACCCAGCACTTTAGGAGACTGAAGTGGTGGTGCCTGGGAGGGGGAAGAGCTTCGTTCCCTACCCCAGGCAAGTGGCCAGCTTCTACGAGTCTGGGAGAACGACTGCGAAGCAGTTCATTAGCTCCCACTTCCCTGAGGTGGATCTGCAAAGGGCGAAGGACGAGCTGGCCGTTAATGGGGGATCGGGGGTAGTTCGGCAGGCTCTGGAGGTAAGTTTGCTTCTTAGTTTTTAGTTTTAGTTAGTTTTTTTTTTTTTTTTTTAACTGACTTCGTCCTCCGTACAGACCACCAACTTAGTAAATGCAATGGCGACTGAGTTCTTCGACTACCTCCAAGAGCGAATTGCCTTGGTGAAAAAGAACGAAGAGCTCAACCGCCAAAAGGAGGAGGCGGAGAAGAACTTCGGTGAACTGACCTCGGAGCTGGAGAAGGTCAGGGAGGAGTTGGCCAACTCCAGAAGGGCTGCCGAGCTAAAGGAGCAGAAGAGGAAGAAGTGTGAGGAAGCACTTGCAAGGAGGGAGAACGAGCTAGCCGAGGTGAGAAAGTCAGCTGAGCTGGCGATCCACAATTCTGTGGAGGGGCATGTTTCAAACTTTGTTAAGTCTGCTACGTTCGCTAAGGTGGTGGACCTCTACCGTCTGCCAACGTTGGTAATGGCCTTCGCTGACTACCGTAAGAAGGTGAAGGCTCAGAATCCAGAGGTGGACGTGACAAGCATTACCTTTGGACCTGAGGAGGCAGGGGTAGAGGAGAACGGGGATAGCAAAACAGCGGAGTTCCGACCTGAGGTGAAGTTGACTTGGGAGCGGGATGAGGCTGGGAAAACTATCCTCCCACCGACGTTGGACTTCGAGTTCTTTGCTGTGGACGAGGAGGAGGCCGAGGTGGCACCGAGGACGGAGGTGGCGGACAACATACGAAATGAAGAAGTGGACCAGCAACTCCAGATCATTGATTGAGCTCGGCCAGCTCATCCTTTGTAATTTTTACGATTTTTAGCTTATGTAAAGAACAATTTGTATTTCAATTGGAATGAACGAATTGAAATTTTGGAAATGCATGGTATTTATTGTGGTAGCGTTAAAATGAGTTTTGATAGAAAAAATTATAGCGAACTTAAAAAATAATATAGCAGATCAAAAATACTAACTATTTGACCTCGGGTAGAAAGAAATCAGAAATGTAACTTTTGTAAAGGTGAGGTAGAAGTCAACGTGGGAGCTCAAGCTCGGTTGATAAGAATTTGAATAAAAGAAGCTTTATTATGGGTAAAACTTCTTTAAATTATTTACATTCCAAACCCTAGGTATTCTTTTACCCTCAGCATCTACAAGTATGTAAGCGCCAGGGTGTGGGATTTCGGCCACTACATATAGGCCTTCCCAGTTGGGCACCAGCTTGCCGAAGCGAGTTTTGAAGCTGGTGAGTCCTGCCTTTCTGAGGATGAAGTCGCCAACTCTAAAGGTCCAAGGTCGGACTTGTCTATTGTATGAGTTGGCCAACTTCTGTTTGTATGCTAATGTTCGAAGTCGAGCTTCCTCTCGGATTTCGTCTAAGAAATCGAGGTTTTCCCTGAGCAACTGTTCATTTCGAGTTGCGTCGAAATGGGTCACTCGTAGGCTTGGGACGCCCATTTCGACAGGGATGACTGCCTCGATCCCAAAAGCCAAGTGGTAGGGCGTTTGGCCTAAAGATGAGGAGTTGTGATTTTAGGGTTCATTTTATATAGGGAGTAATGGTATTAAAATAAAAAGTTGGCTGAGTTGCGTACCTGTGGCTGTTCGACTCGTAGTTCGGTAGGCCCACAGAACATTGTTGAGCTCGTCTGACCACTTGGCTTTGACCTGATCTAGTCTTGGTTTAATTCCTTCTAGGATGGCCTTGTTGACAGACTCAACCATTCCATTTGCCTCAAGATGATAAACAGAGGTGAACACCAACTTAATCCTGTATCTGGAATAGAAGTCTTTGAACGAGGTGCAGTTGAACTGAGGTCCATTGTCGGCAACGACTTGGTTTGGAATCCCATACCTACATATAACCGAACTGAAAACAAAGTCTTCAATCTTTCGCGAGGTCAGGCTAGAAAGAGGTCTGGCTTCTACCCATTTGGTGAAGTAGTCGACTGCCATGACTAGGTGTGTTACCCCCCCTGTACCCTTAACAAAAGGACCTAGGAGGTCAATCCCCCACTGCGCAAAGGGCCACGATGCTACTAAGGTGGTAAGTTCTTCTGTTGGTTGGTGGGTGAGATGTGCAAAGAATTGGCACTTCGGGCATTTCTGGACGTGCTGCTTGGCATCCTCTTGCTTGTTTGGCCAGTAGTATCCTTGGCGAAGCACCTTGTGGGCCAGGGTCCGAGCTCCGACGTGACTCCCACATACACCCTCATGCACCTCGCAAAGTGCGTAGTCGGCCTCATAAGGGATTAAACAGCGAAGAAGAGGGAGCGAATATGACCTCTTATAGAGGGTTCCATCCACTAGGGTATACCGAGATGCCTTCCGTCGCAACTTCATCTGTTCTTGTTTGTTGGCTGGGACAGTCCCATCTCGGAGATAAGCTTTAATGGGATCGTCCAATTGGGGGTTTCCGGATCAGTGCTAACCTTCATCACCTGCGACCTCTGGAAGCTTGGTTGGTCTAGGACTTTAACAAAGACTGACCTTGGTCCAATTGAGCTGTCAGAAGCTAGCTTTGACAGTGAGTCGGCATGGCCATTTTCGGAACTCGAGATTTTGGTGAGTTGAAATCTTACAAATTGGCTTTTGAGCTTCAAAACCACAGCTAAGTACTTGACAAGGGTCAGATCTGTGACCTCGCATGTAGAGTTGACTTGGTTGACTATGAGTTGTGAGTCACTGTAAACTTGCAGGGATCTGACCTTCAACTCTGCTGCTAAGCGAAGTCCGAGGAGGAGTGCCTCGTATTCGACCATATTATTCGTTGCTTCGAAATTAAATTTTAGGGCATGCTCACTCCGAAAGCTTCCTAGCCCCAACAACACCGTTCCAACTCTTGACCCTCTTTTGCTTGACGACCCATCCACATAAAGGGTCCATTGCTCAGGCTCAGAAGCGATGGTTTCGGAGCTCGAGGTGCATTCGACAACAAAGTCTACCAAGGCTTGAGCCCGAATTGACGACCTTTGTTGGAATGTTATTTGAAATTTCCCCAACTCCACTGCCCATTTGATAAGTCTGCCCGAACATTCCGGCTTCTGAAAAATCTGTCGTAGGGGTTGGTCGGTTAATACCACAATAGGATAAGCCTGGAAGTAGGGTCTTAATTTCCGTGCTGTGGTGTTACTGCTAGAGCTGCTTTTTCTGCGACGGAATACCGTAGTTTGGCTCCTTGTAGAACCTTGCTAGCATAGTATACCGACTTCTGCTGTTTGCTTGCTTCTTTGACTAAGATTGAGCTTATTGTCGCATTGGAGATTCCGAAGTAGAGGTAAAGGATTTCGCCTTCTTCGGCCTTGGTTAACAGAGGTGGTGAGCCGAGGTATGACTTAAGGTCGTTGAAGGCGGTTTGGCACTCTAAGGTCCAGTCGAACTTCTTAGATCTCCCTGTTTCATCTTTATGGGCCACGGATCTCAAGATTTTGAAGAAAAGCAAACATTTTTCTGCCGACTTCGACACAAACCTGTGCAGAGCTCCTATTCTCCCGGCTAAGCGTTGCACATCCTTAATCAACTTCGGTGGCTTCATTTCTTCTATTGCCTTTATCTTCTCGGGATTGACTTCGATCCCCCTCTTGGAGACCATGAATCCTAGGAATTTGCTAGATTCGACACCAAAGACACACTTGGCTGGGTGATCCTTTGCCTTGGGACTTTTGACCACTATGTCATCAACGTAGACTTCCAAATTTCTACCGATCTGAGCTCGGAACACAATCGTCACCATCTTCTGATATGTAGCCCCTGCATTCTTGAGCCCAAACGGCATCCTTACGTAGCAGTAGATCTCGTCACCTGCATAGAAAGAGGTCTTCGCCTCGTCTTCGGGTGCCATGTGGACCTGATGATACCCCGAGTAAGCATCCAAAAGGCTAAGCCTTTCGTTTTCGGACGCGGCTTCTACGAGCTTATCGATACTCGGCAGAGGGTGGCAGTCCTTGGGGCAGACCTCATTCAAATTCGTGTAATCAATACACATTCGCCATTGGCCGTTCGACTTCTTGACTAAAATGGGATTAGCAACCCATTCGCAGTAGTCTACTCGTCTTACAAACCCGGCCTGCAGGAGTTTCTCCACTTCTGACTTAATTGTTTCCAGTCTATCCCCACCAAACAGGCGTCTTTTCTAGGCTACGGGCTTCTTCAAGGGGTGGGTGCTTAACTTGTGTACTGCAACCGAGGTGGGGATGCCCAGCATATCAGCTGAGGTCCAGGCAAACACGTCTTTGTTGGACTTCAGAAAGTCAATGAGCTCTGCCCGTTCTTTGGAGCTTAGCTTGGTACCGATCTGTGTTTTTTTGGTGGGATCGCGGTCGTCAAGTTGTACCTTCTCCACCTCTTCTGCTGGGGTGGCTCTGGCTTCATCTTCAAGTCTGTTATCCAGCAATTTTACACCCACGACTTGCTGTGTAGCTGGGACTTCAGACTGAGTGGGCTCTGGGTTTGCCACTTGTTGATCCCTCCGCGGTCGAGAGACTGAAGTCATGTAGCAGTGGCGGGCTACCTCTTGATTTCCCCTTAACGTTGCCACACCTGTAGGGGTGAGGAATTTCATGCAGAGGTGGGATGGTGAGACAACTGCCCTAATTTTAGTCAAGGTTGGCCTCCCGATGACGATGATAAAGGATGACGCCATCTTCACTACCAAAAATTGGACTGAAGGGATTACATAGGCCCGACCTGAGCCCAATGTTACATTGAGTTTGAGAATTCCTTCCACAGGCACTGGTTGATTGTTGAAGCCGTAGATGGGGCCGTCATACTTCTGTAGAAGGGCGGGGTCGAGGCCAAGGCTCTCGAAGTAATGATAGTACATGATGTCCGGAGCGCTTCCTGTGTTTACAAGGACGCACTGAACTTCGCAATTATTGACCATGACCGAAGTGACCAACGGATCATTATGTGGTGTGACAACACCGTCAAAATCAACGGAACTGAACGTTATCGATTGGTTCTTCCAGTTTGTCTCATCAAATTTCCTCTTTTGGGCCCGATTGTGATGCTTCACCTCTCGCACATAGAGCTTCTGCTGCTTTGAACTCGTCCCTCCAGCTTCCGGACCTCTTGTTATCATGTGAATGATGCGCGAGGGTGGAGGGAGCGGGGATGGTGCTTGTTGATACCCAACTCCAATTCAGTTGCTTACATCTCGAGATGCCTGAGGTCGTCCCTGCTCCCAGACGAACTTGAGCTAGTCTCGGTTAGAGACGTACTCATCCTTTACGAGCTAAACCCTCAAGCTCATACTTCAAAATGTTGCATTCCTCAGTGGTATGGCCATGGTCCTGGTGGAAATCACAATATCTGTTGTGATCCCTTGAGGCGGGTGAACTTCGCATAGGAAGAGGCCTTCTGAGCTCCATTTTATTTTTGATCTGCATTAAGATTTGTGACCTCGACAGATTAAACGGAGTCCAAGCAACGTGCTTTGCCATAGGCTGCGGAGTAGGAGTTGGGGGTCGGTCCAGCTTAGGTGGGAAAGGGCCCCGGTTTTGTGTAGGCTTAAATCTCTTCTGGTTCTGTCCTTCATCTCTCCAGGTTGGAGGTTTAACCTCTTTATTTGGAGCCGGCTTGCTAGACAAAGCATATTCCTCGGCTTGGATAAACTTCCAAGATCTTTCATTGGCTTCATCAAACGTGGAGGGAGCATGCTTTATGAGGCTATCTCGAAACCTGTCATGCTTAAGGCCTTGGATTAGTGCAGCTAACCCAACAACTTGGCTGAACGAGCCGATCTCCAACACTGCGTCACTAAATCTATTCATGTAATTCTTTAAGGATTCACCTTCTCTCTGGGTGACCCGCATGAGTTCGGAGGTTGTTTTCTTGATCAGCCGACGACTGGAGAACTTCGTAGCGAAGAATGCCGCCATCTCAGCATAAGAACTGATTGAGTTTGGTTGCAGACTGTAATACCAGGTCCGCGCGTTGCCGCGCAATGTAGAGGTGAATATTTTGCACATCAAGGCGTCTGAGGCATTTTGAGCTTGCATAATGGAGTAAAATGCGTGCAAGTGATCATTAGGGTCTTTGGTACCATCATATGTCTCGAACTGAGGCATTCAAAACCTAGATGGGTACGGTTCTTGGATGATGTTGGCATGAAGCGGGATAGGGATGGGGGCAGAACTTGGCTAAGCCGGGGTTTGGGGACTTCGGTTGTCGGGGACCACTTGTTCGAAGTGCGGTCGGTTGGGGAGATTTGAGACAACCGGATGGGAAGGTTGTTGAGGTTGAGGTGCTATATGGGAATTGGCTTAGGACTCATTAGGAGGCAGGGCCGCAATCCGAGCTGGTGGACCGACGTTTTGTTGGGGCTGGTGGTTTAGTGCTTGGTTGGTGGGATTTAATAAGGTGATGAGGGGGTCACTCGGGTTATCTCTAGCTAACAGTTGGGCGAGCACGAGTTGGAACACGCCGAACTGCTGTTGCATGGCATTAAGTTGGGTGGCTATGGGGTAGTTTGGGATTTCTGAGTTTGGATTATTTTCCCTGGTCTCTTCTATGTGTTGGTGCTGAGCTGGAAGTGGTACGAGGTGAGGTGTGGGGTTCCCGCTGAGGAATTGATCTTTTTCATGCCCTTGTTGAGGACTTCCATGGTGTGTTGAGCGCGTGTTAACCATCGTAGCAGCCACTAGCAAAGGCTTTTAGCTCGTTTCCCATAGACGGCGCCAATGTAGTTGCGGAGAACTGGGAGGCACTCCGGACTTCAAGTCTTCACTTCAACTATCCAGCAAAGCCCCGAGGTTGGTTCTCGAGGTAGGAACTCCGATGCTTAAGTCAGCAATAATCAGAGCTACCAGCTATGAAATGAGAATGAAAGCTAGGTTTAAGGTCGATTTCCAATACCTTTCTGAGGTGGACCCTGAGGGGTATTTATAAGCCTTCAGGGGGGATGCCCACATGTTGATCCTTTCGAGAAATCCGGGCAACACGTGTCAAACATCGCAGGAGCTTCACGTGAGGGGTTTGCATGTGTATGGAACTACTGTGGAGTGGGAGCAGAGGGGACGAGCTCGAGCTCGACCGAGCTCGTCGTCCTACAATCGAATCGAGGTGACTAGATGTCAGGAGCCGTTCTGGATGTCCGAGGTTGCACATCTCAAGCAGCTATGAAGTACACGACTTCGGACTGGCAACATGCTTCATCTCATGACCTCTGGCTACGTACCTTTGATACCTCATGACCTCTGTCAACCCACATACCTCTGATATCTCATGACCTCTGTCTACCACCACTACAAGTTTCACATTAAAAATTTCAAGTTTCAGTCCTACAAAAGAAAAAGAAAGATTTAAAAACAAAACTTACCTTTTATTATATAATTTAACATTATAAAAAAAAATTATAAGATTTTTGTTGCATGTTACTTTTTAAATGATTTTAATTACCTATTTTTCTAAACACAACTTCAACAAGCACAATCATATGTTTTTAAACCTGAATTTCTTCTAAAATGATGAAACCTAATGTAAGTAAATCATCTATTAAAATTGACACGGTACCAATTAAAATGCCTCGATCCAAGTATAAGGAAATTATTTTAACAAAAAGGGCAAAGAATGAGCGCTATATATATGTAGCATCAAAGAAAACTCATCAATTGGCAGAAGCAGAAGAATGAATTAAGAAAAAAATGCTGGCAGCGATAATATCATATAGGAACGCACGGAGGATATAAAGAGAGACTACAACACTATTACGTGTTCTTTGCTTCTTTTGTCAGCAAAGAAAGGCGCAAAAGCATCCATATCTTTATTATTGTGGTAAAGGCGCAAAAGCATACGTATCTTTATTATTGTGGGAAAGGCGCAAAAGCATACATATCTTTATTATTGTGGGAAAGTCGCAAAAGCATACATATCTTTATTGTGGGAAAGGCGCAAAAGCATGCATATCGTTGTTGTGGGTGCTACATTTGCAGTTGTTGATGCTTTATCCTTTGGCTGGAGAAAGTGAAAGTGTAAAGAGCAGGAGAAGAATATTAAACGCAATGTGAGTCACATGAAAGGTTGCACCATATGAGATTATTGGAGGAAGCAAAGAATCCCTCTAGTTAGTAGTGCTTTCCTGGACAATAGCGCAAGGAAACCATTAAATGTAGTATGTATGAAAGGGCAAGAGTACCCTTTGTATGCTCGCTATAAATAAAACTTACAGTTCCAAAATAAGAAAAAAAATATCCCTCAAGATTTGCACTTGTCATTTTTTTGAATTATAAGTAAGATGTGCATTGTAGTTGATAACAAACAAGAGAGTAAGATACGCATTAACCGCAACAATATTCAGAGCTTGTAAAATAAAGTTGGCCTTAGATTCTGGAGCGTGCTAAAAGTGCATGAACTAACTCCTATCGTTTATTTTATAATAGCATTATATATAAGAATCCCTCAAAAAAGTAATTGTAGATAATAATTAATTTATTTTAATTTGTCCCCTCCATTGGGTTTAATTGGGTAAATACTCCAATAAAGACCGTTTGTAATTTAAAAAAAAAAAAATCAAATTATAGATGTAAAATTTTCTTACAAAATGAGACAATACTAAAAAACCCAACTTCACCGACATAAGAATTTTTATTGGTGTTGACGACCATTTAAGATTTCAAAATAAATGAAAAATTAAGAGTAAAATATAAAAAAGAGGGAGTCGTCACTCGTTCAAATTATAAAGTGGGACAAGTCACCTTAAAATGGATTTGCGCAGAGATCGAAGTTTAAGGGTTCGGTTAGAAGTGAGGAAGGGCACATGTGCACCTCACAATTCTCCGTTTAATAACGGTTGCATACTTTAAAATTGGGTTTTAATTCAATTTATTTATTATATTTATGTTTGAGTCTTAATGAGCAAACTTGACAAAGAGATAAACCGAGTCGAAACAATTTTTTTTCTTTTGGATTGAAATAGACAAAATCAAGAACATGCATGCACAATAAACACAAATAAAAATTAAATGGACTGATTGATTAAATTCAAAAACATGAAGGACTGATTTGAAAAGAGTTGAGACCTATGGACTAAATTGCTTAATCATGAAAGTTTTGAGTGAAATTGAAATAAAGAAATATAATTTTGACTTTAGAAAAAAGATTAAAGAAAATAGGGAATTGAAATTAATTAATTAAGATAATTAACTTAATTAGATGATTAATTCAATATTAATTAAAATTAATTAAAATTAATTAATTACACTTATCAACTTCCTCTTATCAAAATAATTAAATAAATAAATTACCTCAAATTAAGATCAATAAATATAATTAATTTACTTTAATTAAAATTAATTAATTTTATTAATTACACATTTAAACTAATTATCCTAATCAATTAATCATTTTTTTTTTCTTTTTACTTTTTTTTTTTTAGTTTTGTTTTAGTTTAGTTATTTTTTTAAAAAAAACACCGAAAACAGACCAAAATAGCTCAAAACTTAGACAACTGAAATCTGAATGAAAACAAATGAAAATTTACGGTTCCTATTCTAACCATTCATCAACACAGAGAAAAAGAAAACAAATAAACATTCATCCCAACTTAAATCCATGACATTCAATCAGAACATGTTTGATTTTTTGTTCATTCACATTATCATCATCAAATACAGTCGTAATACATCGAAATCTAAGAAAAATTGCAACAAACAAGGCGAAAATTTTCTGGGAGAAGACAGATCTGGATTGGAAGGAGGGATCCCACCCACGGGATCAAGCTCCATTCGTCTTCCTCACCATCCTTCCCAAAAATTCCTCTGTTTAGGGAATTATCTAAGCAAACCCAAAAAATGTTTCCTTCTCCTTAAGCTGCTGTTGCACTCTCCCAGATCATCACTCTCGAACCAGCCCTTCGATACCAGCGACGGAGGCGGTGCTCTCCACAACCAACCTCCCCAAAGAAAACCAGCCCTCCCTTCTTCGAAATCTCCTTCTAGTGCTCTCAAGAACCAGATAGACTCCCCAAATCAACTCCAAAAATCAACCACCGAGCCCCCCGACTTTACTCTGCTTTTGCCCTATATATATACCCAAACAACAAAATAAAATAAAAATGAAAAAGCAATCACTAATGATGCCAATTTTGTCTGGTATTGGCTGTTTTTTCTGTATGGCTGTAGTGTGCAGGAGGCAGGGGCGTGGGATTGGGCGCAGAGTGCAAGAGGCGCAGCAAGGTGCAGCAGCAGGGGCGTGGGCTCGATGCAGGGGAGTAGGTGCAGCGTGCAGGAGGCAGGGGCGTAGAGCAGGAGGCACTGGAGTGCATGAGTGCAGGAGATCTAGTGCAGAGCAAGGGGATCTGGTGCAGAGCGCAGGAGATCTGGTGCAGAGCAAGGGGATCTGGTGCAGAGAGCAGGGTTGGTGCAGAGCCAGACTGGTGCAGGAGCAAAGGGGCACGGAGCAGGGCAGGTGCAGGAGCAAGGCTGGTTTGCGGTAGCAGAGGATCTGGGCTGGGCGCAGGAGTGCACGGCTGGGCGCACGAGTGCACGGCTGGACGCGGGAGTGCAAGGCTGGGTGCAGGAGTGCAAGGCCGGTGCAGAGGTGCAGCAGCAGGGAATCTGGGCGCAGAGGGTACTGGTTCGGGTGTAGGGATGGCAATTTGCCCGATACCCGCGGGGCCGTGGGGATCCCGCCATGGGACGAGGAGTATTTTCTCCTGTGAAAATTTGTGAGAAATTTTTTCCGTCCTACGGAGCTCATGGAATCCCTATTCGTGTGAAAAATTAAGAAAAATATGTAAATTAGTTTTTTTTAAAAATTTAATTCAACCTTCGAAGTTAAATTCAATTCAATAAAATTTAAATTTAATCTCATTTTATCCAATATATTATTAACCTTTTAGTTATTTAT